TAGAAACTTTCAATTTCATTGTATCACACAAAAGTATGGGCTTCACCCATCTAAGCAGGCAGTCCTTTCTGCATCCATTTGGTTTTCTGCTTCTGCGGAGGAATTGATTTTTATTGAGGTTTCTCAATGTTCTTTTACAAAGAGGTTGTCATAAAAACAATTTTAAATGATCAGAATGGCCATATCAATATTTATTGAAATACTGGAAATAAAAATCCATTGGTGTTGAGAAATTCCTGGCAAGAACTGACATGACAACATGAACTTCACATATACAGTAAGAGAACTTTAACAAGTAACTAACTGCACATTCTAAGGGTTGCATGGATTCAAATGCCTGGCAGCTGTGGAACATCTGTAATACAAATAGACACCACAGATTGTCTGGTTACAAACACTGAACAACTATAAGAAACCAGCCAAAGCCAGAACCTTTGTATTTTTAATCTGCTTTTACTAATATGTAATTGATAAAGCAATCATAGGTAAATGTCTTGTTACAAATTGGTTAATAATTAACAGTAGTTTGCAAACTTTGGGTAATCAGAGGGATTCTTGGAACCACAGATATTGGCTAATGTGTGTTCTAGTTTATATGAAACCATTTCCACTAACTGTTGTATGCCTTTTAACATCCTTATGTTAACGATCTTGTTCTGTCTATAGATAATTGTGCTTTATTTAGTTGGTTTATTCCCTTTTTAGTGAAATTTGCCATGGTTATTTCAATAAAAAAGTTAAAAGTTTACATATCTGGTCACAGGAAAAGTAAAAAATAGTCAACCGTGTGTGTATGAGACATAAACAAATCCAGAATTACTTTTAGCGCTACTGGTTATAACTTGATTTGTAATTTTTTAAAACAATGTTCCCATTCAAAGAGAAAATGTAGGGTGAACTTTTGTTGTCAAAGACCCGTAAGTCAGCATTAGTCATGTACGATGTGAGACAAACTTCTAAGAGTTACGTGGCCTTACATAAGTTTGTTACTCTCCTTTCAGTGTGCATATGCACGGTGTGGCTGACACCAAGGGCAAGTTCTTCATTTGGACACCTTCTAGCACTCCTATAAAAAGGATCTTCCTAATCTATAATTCCCAACTTGCTGTCACTGATGCTTCTGCTGCCTATTTATCATCCTGTGGGCAGGGTGGTAGATTTGGGGATACCACTAAATGGTAGCAAACTGTCAGTTATTTAATATCCTATTGGCTGAAATCTACCGAGCTAGTTTAGGTGTGCTGAAGGATTGGGACATGCTTAGCAAACCCTCTCCCCCTTTTGTAAACTGCAGTGTTCATGTCACATCACAAATTCCTTCTGAATTGATTTTAGTTTCCAAAGAGGTATGCCACGTGGCATGGAAGTTTACTGCTTGATACATACAACCCCTTTGGGTACGTGGAACTTTTGATACAGTTCTTTGAATCCTAGCCTTTATATTTTTACCACAGTGGCGATGGCAGCAGCGGTGGAGGAACACTTTTAGCTTTTCTGCCTTGGGCACCAGTGACTTGGATGGAGTCTGTGTGAGTGGTCAAGGCAGATTATTTGTGAGGGAAGAGCAGAAGTACTGGGAGCAGGAGCTTATTTGTTGCAAAGGGAATGCCACTCTGTTTGAGCAAGGGTTTTCTATTGTCCCTCTCTCCCTGCTGGCTGGCGGCCCTGATCCAAATGTAAACAGAATGTCAGACCAGATTAGCATGGTGATAAAATACTCTGTTTTGCACTAGTACAAAAAAAAATGTTGTCTTTGGTATAAAATGTACACTGCTTTGAAAAGAATTTAAAGGTAAGACTGCGCCTCTCTAGGTTCACACGGAACCAAGGGAGGTGCAAATCGCAAAATTTACAATAGATTTTAAATAAACTACATTTAGGATTATGAAGATTTACAGACATTGAATCAAGCAAATGATCTTAAATGGTAAAGACCCTTGTGTGTCCCTGAACTATGTTCCACTAACTTGAAGACATGCTGTAATAAACACATATATTTGGCTTCTTTATTCTGGCTATATATTTTATATATATATTTATATATATAAAGATGAAACCAAGGAACAATAAATTAGCATCATAATTGTCTACAATGAAAACTGTGAGATACAATATAAATAAAACTATTTAAAAGCCAGCAATCGTCATGAAAACAAACAAACAAACAAAGCTAAGGGAGGAGAAGTTTTATACAGTTTCTACAAAAGATTGTGCAGCCAATAATCTAAAAAAAAAAATTAAGTATAAATGAGATTCCCTTTTTGATTTTAGTGTCTCACGACATACAGTAATTAAGTACTGGTAAGGTCATTACCAATCAGAAAGCAACATTAAGGTAATCACTGCTTTGCAACATCAGCACAGTGTCCCCCCTCCCCCCTTCCCAGGATCTAACAAATGTAAACACCATAATCTTTTTAATTCCCCCCCCAATGTAAAGAATTAATACTTTCCCCCTCTAAACGTATGTTGATCTGCATCTATACAGGATTCTGAAATAAGGCAAAGCTCTCATAACTGTGGCACTACATTTTATAATACTGATATCTTCATTTTAGATAGAACATTTATTTGTACTCCTCCAGTATTTGTTCTGCAGCAGACTTTGGTCTACAGAGTCACAGCAATAGCATTCTTCTGTCCTCAAACAAAAGATTTTAGTCACTTTGCTCAAATAATAATTTTTCGCATTTGAAAGACTGGTAAAATTGGCGGTTTTCCACACTCCTAGTAATACTATTCAACTGCCCAGATTCCTCAGCTTATACATTTTGAGTGTCTTTACTTGCATAGGTAAAAGCACTGTGTTAATTGGTTTCTGTTACCTACCACTTGATCCAGAAACTGGTCCAAGTTCAAGTACTTGGTTTTAAGCTCTCATCGAGAGTGGACTACACCAGCGCAAGATCCCATAACGTGATTGCATTCTCTTCTTGCCCAAGTGTAGTAGCAGAGATAGAGTTATATAAGGCTGACAACCTTTGATTTAAAAAATACTGTTCTGGGCCATCCTGGAGGTGGGGGCAGGTAGAGCTAAGAGCCAGAGACATGGGAAGAACCTGAGCGAGTGAAAAACTGAGTCAGTTTGGTGGCTGAGTCAGGATAGGTGGCAGAGTCAGGGTGGAATCTGATGCATCGTCAATGGAACTTGGTGGGGTCCAGCCTTTGTCACGCCACCTTTGGCTTGTAAAATTCTGATACTGGTTTCCTGCCAGAATTCAGGTTTACTGGTCACATGAGATACATAATGGCCAACTGTCTATTTCAGAACAAGTCTGAATAACCCGAGGCCCGACAAGTTGAATGTAGCTTGCCAGCCATGAATTGTGGTCCTTGGTGGACTGTCATATATAGCTGTGGGCCACCCTCTGCTTGCAAGGTCACAAGTTCTGCAGGCCTGCTCTAACGCTAGCTATACTGTGTGTTCACATATGCTCCCCAGGCAGATAGTTTGGCCCTACATTCCAATTCAGAACATGTAGGAAAGCAAGGGTGAGGAGAGGAACTTATGGGGTGCCACCCACCACTCTTCTCTCACGGTAGAGACGTTAAGTGCCATCAAGGGGCTTTCAAGACAAGTGAGAAGCAGAAGTGGTTTGCCATTGCCTTCCTCTGCAGAATCCTCCTTGGTGGTCTTCCACCCAAGTACAGACTCTGCTTAACTTACAAGATCTGATGAGACTGGGTTATCCCTTGCCATCTTCCATCCCCTTCTCTCACACGAGATAACCAGTAATTTGTTTATTTATTTATTTATTTCATTTATACCCCACCTTTCTCCCCAATGGGGGGGGCAAGGCAGCTTACATTGTTATCCTTTCCTGTGTTTTATCCTCACAATAACCCTCTGGGGTAAGTTAGGCTGTGAGGGGTGACTGGCCCAACATCACCTAGCAAACTTCCATGGAGTGGGAATCTGAACCAGGTTCTCCCAGATTCTACCCCAACACTCCAAGCACCACACCACACTGACAATAAGGTATAAATGGAAATCTCTGGACTGTGTTACCTTCTTAAACCCAAGTACTTCAGTTTAACTAGGTTGCTGACTGACTGTGGTTAGAGATGCTGCTGCTTGAAATCCGAAGGGAAGTTCTTGTTTTTAAGAGGACTTCTGAAAGAATAAATGGTATCCACAAGCTTATTTGGCACTAAAAAGCTCTGAGAAGCCATTCCAGCAATGTTTGAGCTGCTACACTGGAAACACGGTTCAAAGATGGTTGCCCAGTCGTGACACTTGTGGCCATTCCTCATTCCATCATCAGCAGAAGGATACTGCCTGACCAAACAACATGAACACAATGACACCCCCCCCCACTTTGGAAACATATTAAGAATGCCAAGCTAACATACAAACAGATCCCCCCCTCTTCGTGTTAACTGTTTGCAAGCCTGAGTTACAGATAGTCCGAAAACCAGGCTTTATTTCTTTTGTTTTGGTGGTGCTGCTATTTATACTGTGGATGTGGCCAACCCCAGATCTTTATTACAGACTGGTGCCGTATCCTTGCTTGAAGAAGAGAGAACAGTTCTTGGAAGGATGGCCCAAGGAGGCTGCAATTTTACATCCTTCAGAGGTGTTTGCAGTCCTGCTAACCATTGAAGGAACTTAGTGCATATAAATCCCCTCACCTCTTAATAACACAGACAGAAGCTGTTCTGAAATTTGTATCAAGTGGTAACTGACAAAAGTGTAACTTACAAGATCCGTTAGTCCTTTTTTGTTTGTTTAATGTCAGCAATGGTATCCACTTCCTTTCCAGCCAGTGATGAAGTCCTATACATGTTCCTTTGGAGAGACCGTGTAGCATTTGATTCACAGTTTGCAATACAAATACCCTGATACATCACTTATTTACTATTAAGTACTTGATTATTATACCATTTTTTTTGCAAAGTTCTTTTAAATCCAAGTTCTTTTAATTAGGGTTGCTCGGAGCAGTTCAGAGTATTTTTTTTTCTTATCTTTTCTCAAATGCAGAAGCTGAACAAGGATATAATTATGCTCTTTTTGCATGCAGCATTTCAATGAGGAGGTTATTACATGGCACGTCCCCATTCAGGTGTTTGTAGTAGAGGTATTCTTCAGCCTGCATACTGATCGCTCGGATTTCCGGGAGCCGCAGGAGAAGCTGCCCAAATTTGTCTGTCTGCTGCGGGTAGTTGCACATAGTGTAGTCCAGCAAAGCAGTGTTTACTTGTTCTTGAACACCTTCCACCAGCTGGAAGTTCTCTAGATTTTTGACATCTGCATGAACAAAAATTAAAAAAGATACACAATCATAATATATAACTTTATTGTAAAGATGATAAAAACCCATGTTTTACTTCCTGTTTACTAAAGTGGTGTTTTTCTCAATGATTGCCTTTTCCTCTTGACAAAAGGATACTTTACACACTGCTGAATATTCAGTAAAAACCCCTCTGCCAAGTTTCCTGGGAAAATGATCACAGCACAGCTTTAGTGGAATGTCTTGTTGAAATTCTGCATATACCTCAGATCAATTAGTCACCAATGGATTTTGAGCAAGGTCAACTTTCCTCACCCACCCCCCTGCCATACCTTACAAAGGGAAAGGCTGAGGATTCCTAACACCAAGGACTGTAATATATTGCCAGAAAATGAGTCCCTTGAGGAAGACGTAACTTTAACCCAGTATATTACACAACTCATATAATTCTGTATTAATTTTTCTGACCCAAGGTGAAATCTGTGTCCAGGGTATGATGCAGTTAATTCTAATAAAAATGACAGGGTTCTTGTTTCTTTTTGACATTTGCTAAATTATTCTGAAAGCCTTTGACTTGTCTTACCCTATGCTAATGAACCATCTGGTACACTCCAGTGACTGCCAAAATAACCTGCCTGACCCGAATCCCTCAAAAATATTTTTCCTCTTTTGTTTTCTTTCTCTTGTCATTTAAGCAGATTGAATATGTGCACACACACACAAACACACACACTACTGATATATTTCCTTTCCTTGTTTTTGCATGATTTTGACTGTAATCCTAAAACAAAGGCTTATAGAAGTAAAATAAATTGTAATTTGTTTTCAAATGCATCAGCACCAGCATTCTATTGCAACAGATTGGATCCTGCGTATCTGCTCTTCTAGTTGGTCTGAAGCAGCAGAACAATATTTGAGTCCAGTGGCACCTTTAAGACCAACAAAGTTTTATTCAAGGTATGAGCTTTCATGTACATGCACGAAAGCTCATACTTTGAATAACCAATCAACCAACCAACCAACCAACCAACCAACCAACCAACCAACCAACCATTATTAAAATGGTCATAGACCAGCACAATACCGTGAATAAAATTTTGTTAGTCTTAAAGTTGCCACTGGACTCAAATTTTGTTCCTCTAGTGTTTCCCTCTTGGGCAAGGAGCCTTTCCCTGACACCTCTTGCATAAGAGGAAGGCTCCTACTGCTGGTGGAAAGCACTGGCAGAACAGATCTGCAGGATCAAACCCACTAGCTCAATTCAGTTTTGGAGCAACTACTTGCATTTGGTTGCAACAGAGATACCCGGTTACCACCTGGAGAATGAGCATTTGCCTGTAAGTGCACCAGTCAAATTAGAAATCAGGTACCAGGTATACGGCTGCACAACTTTCTATGAAGTTACTTGGATGTAATTTTCATTGAAGTGAACAGCACTTACTTGTGTAAGCATGCAAAGGATTGGCTGTTATGAGGGTTTGTGCAAATTAGCTCAAAATTTGAATTGTGATCAAAGGACTTCTTGTGTCTCCAGTGTCAATGATGCTTTACAAAAATAAGTGGTTTATTGACAATAGTGGGTTGGATCCCAAAGATAATGTCCCCTAATGTATGGTACTTCCATTAGCAGAACAGAACTTTCTTGCCTCCCCCTCCCACTGTAGACCATTGATTTTCCAAAATGCTGCTCTTGGGGAACATGGTCCCCCAGGATTATGTGAGGACTAAATCACAGATCTATGGCAGGGGAATGGAATATTGACACAAATCACTCACCCTTCCATTAGCACAAATTAGGGGCTTTTCCTCATTTTCATTTTCCTCACTTGTAATTCCTGTTTCTTTGGTGGTGGTGGTGGTGGGGGGGGGTTGTGTGTTTCTGTTCTGTACTTGTTTTGCTCCCTCAAGTGGTCAATTTAATATTACACTGGTTTATGTCCAGTATAACTCACTGTAGATTTAAACTGCAGGTTCTTATGCCAGACAGAGGGAGCAAAATGAGAATGCGGAAATGCCCTATCATTGGGATCCAACCAATTACTTGATTTTGTTCATGGAAGTGCACAGTTGGATACAAGCCATGCTGTTCTTGGACTGAATCAATAGAAGTAAGTTGACTTTTGCAGCACATTCCTATTAATATTTACTGGGCTATTTGGAATGTATGGGAGTATCCCCACCTTGCAAATAAGCCTGCAAAAGTTTATATTTAATTTTGTAAAATCTTGCTTCTCTGAAGCTCAAAGCAGCTAATAAACTAATTGAAAATTAAATTATTTCCAATAAGAAACATATGCCAACACAAAACATGCAGCAACTGCAAACAATCCCCCAAAATTCTAGATTGCAAATGCCCTCCTCAATAGGACTCTTCTGTGAGCCAATTGGAAAACAAGAAGGGAGGCTTTATATTCCTTGTCCTGTCTGACTATGCTAGTCTACTCACACATAATGATCTAAATCACAACTGCCCTTTGGACTGCCTGAAATAAATATGCAAACCTCTTTTCCACTTTACAAAAACTTTTCTAGTGGTGATTCTTACTTGGCACAAGTTATCAGGTATAAGTGGCTATTTGCAAATGGGCTAATTGGACTGTTGCATCTTCCACTGCTACACAATTAAATTAACTCTGGTATTCTTTTTAATAACACAGACTTTATTTTTAAATATAGATTGTAAGTCTACTGTTTACTAAGGAATAGTGGCACCTATTCCAAGTGGGTTGTGCCCACTTGTCTATATGCCAAACTCTCATAAACAATCTACCAGATTAGAGCCCGTTTGGTGTACTGATTAGGAGTGTGGACTCTAATCTGGGAGAACCGGGTTTGATTCCCCACTCCTCCACATGCAGCTGCTGGTGTGATCTTGGGTCAGTCACAAGTTCTCTCAGAGCTGTACTCTCAAGGGCAGTTCTCGGAAGAGCTCTCTCAGCCCCACCTACCTCCCAGCTGTGTCTGTTGTGGGGAGGGGAAGGGAAAGGAGATTGTAAGCCACTCTGGGACTCCTTTGGGCAGTGAAGGGTGGGGTATAAATCCCAATCTCTCTCTCTCTCTACCATGCCACAGGGTTAAATAGACTCCAACAGAATAGCCTCCAAAATCTTATTTTTCTTCTTACCATTCCTGAATGTAACTCCTTATACAAGGGGTGCAGATCAAAGTAATGTCATTGTATTAAGAGCTTGAATCTAATTCTAGGATTATTTTTTCCTTCTTTCTCCCTCTGCCTCAGAAAAAATATGTGGGATCCTGCCCAACATTTCTGCTGACGGAAAGAACACTATTTCTGCTGATTTCCTCTCTCCTGTGATCTCCAGCTGCCCCCTCATGCTTTCCTCAGGGGTCCCTCATTCCCCAGGAGCAACATTTCTGGTGGCAGTGGGAGACGAGAATGTTACACTCAATGGGTGGAAATACTTTCATTAGCTATAATTTTGGGCAAGATCCAAACCAAAGATTTCCATCAACATTGGGATCAACTCTTCCATTCTTTCCCAACCGACTACAGATAATTTGATAATTTGATATACAACTGATTAATTTATCCCAAACATTTATTTTATTTATTTTTTAAGATGTAGTGCCTCTTGCTGCCTGAAGGCTTAAGACTGATACCAAAAGCAAAACAACAACCCAAGTTGGTTCACTAGAATTAACTGATTAAATCATCCCACCTTTTACCAAAGATCATTATATACAAATATGCCTAACATATTCAGAAGGTGCTCAGGCTTGGACTTTGGTGGATTTTCCTTTAAGCTATAATGAAGGGAACACCTAATTAATTATAACTGAGGCACTTGGAGCCATAGAATACATTCAGTATACCATTTCCATATAATCCTACCTCTTGTGGAAGCAGGCATGCCTGAGGGGCATGGATCATACCCAAATGTCTAATAGTTATTTGTATGATGGGCTCAGTGAAATATTATAACCCACCAAAAAGCACTGAACCAAATTATTTTTACTAAATGTCAATGTTATATAATGTAACTAAAATTATATATATATATATAGAATTTAAAATTAAATTTATATTTAAAACTAAGTATATTGTAAGCTTTTATATATATAAGCTTAGAATATATTTACAACTGCACTGGCAACTAGTTACTTCAGACAAATTCCACTTATGACAGCCTTAAAAGGCCTTCATAGTTATCAAACTGCATCTCCTATTGTATGTCCATGCACCCGTTAGGTTCCTCAGACAGCCTTCACCTTGAGGTGCCTTTTTAAGATTGTCCAGATGACAAAAGATACATGGCTTTCTCTGTGGTAGGCCTTGTCCTCTGGAATGGCTTCCCAGAATGGGTATGGAGGACATTTTCACTGACAGCATTTAGGAAGGCGTGCAAGTCAGTTATATTTCAGGGAGCTTTGAGTAGAGGGTGAATGAACAGCTTTGGCAATTTGGGCTGCACTTTAAGTCTGTGCATTTTTAATTTGTGCCTTGGTTTATTCTTTTTTTGGGGGGAGGTATCTTATTTTTGGCCACCAAAGGAGAAGGGAGCACTCACTAGAAAAGACCCTGATGATGGGAATGAGTGAAGGTAAAAGAAGAAGGAGACGGCAAAGGATGAGATGGTTAGACAGTGTTATCGATGCAACAAACATGAAATTGGGCAAACTCTGGAGGACGGTGGAAGACAGGAGGGCCTGGCGTGATGTGGTCCATGGGGTCGTGAAGAGTTGGACTCGACTGTGCAACTGAACAACAAATCTTTTTTTTATTTCTCAATAGACTCTGCATTGTGAGCTTCCTTGAGTCTAAGGAAATAAGGCAGGGTATAAATATTGTAAATCAATCTATCAGTCATTGATACCCAAAAGTTTTCTCCCAAATAATTGTGTCTGGGTGTCTCACTTGTGTCAACTCACGCTATTGAATTGATGTAAAGGTTTGTGCTGCTTCTTGTGATTGGTCTAGCCAGGCCTTAGAATCAAGTAGTTTCTTATTTATATTTCATGGTGCTGAACATGTTCATATTTAGAAACCAATTACTCT